TAAGTTTTTTTACAAATTTGAGCATGTGCTATTTGACTATATGCAATAGGTCACGCCTGACCTGATGTAGGCTGGGTCATAGGCCCCTGTTAGGTCGTCTGACCCATTTACACCCTTAGTGACATTGCATGCTATTGTATTTTAGAACTGATTAAGTCAATATTGGAGTTTACTTTTCTTTGAGACAAGTTTGCTTTTCTAGAGACATATTCAGTGGTGGAGCCCACTATTTATTTTCATTTATTTTAAAAAAAGGACTGCACATTTCTCGATGAGTGTATGGCAGAAAATTGTTATCTGCATTAAAGTATTGTTTGGTTGAAGGTTTATTTTGGGATTGATGGGAAAGTGTAAGTGGATATTGGAAAATACCACGTTTGGTTCAGGTTTTTTCAAAAAATACTAGGTAAATATGATAGATGGGAAAATGACTTTTGTGTTGATTTTTGGATGAAATTCACTGTTACAGAATACCACTTGAGATGTGGTATTTTGAGATAACTGGGAAAGTGAAAAAACAGGTGCAAAGTTTCTCCCGAACATAGATTTTACATATTTAAATAAATTTTCCCGGTAATATTTCGGTCAACCAAACAACTTTTTTTACATTTTCCTACCAAACTCACTTTCCAACTATTTCCCTATCAATTACATTTCCCTAGTGAAAAAAAATTTCTCCCGAACCAAACACTACCTAAGAGTCCTATTACCCATAAAATAATGGATTTGGATCTTCTAATGTAAAAAAGTGGTTATGTGATCATGTTATTTAATCATAATCATTCCTAAAATAATAGGTATACCCTACATCTTTTTTGGACTAGTTTATTTAAGTAATTTTTAGGGTAATGTAGACTGCTAGATAAATATAATATAAAAATAGGAAATGATATACTTATCACCAAAAAAGTTTATCACCCTTACAACTAATCTAATCACCATTGATTTTCGTCAATCTAACGGTTATAATTTTTTGAATTTATTTGAAATTAATAATTAATTAAAAATTAAAAGTTTGTTAGAAAATATATTATTATTAATGTATTTTTATCTAATAACTTAAATTTTTAGGTTGAATTAATTGTTTTATTTTAATATTATATATATATAAAGAACAAAACTGAGCATTGAGTTCTTGAGTAAAAGACACATGATTAGTTTGTATTAAGTAAAATCAATTATCTTGAGAAATTTGCCTGCCCCCAAGCGACGAAACGCTGGAACTTTCTTAATGTTTATTATTAAATTAATAGTATGTCAACATTTTATTAACTTAATACATACAATTTGGGCATATTAAATTTGGATTCGTTTTTTAGGGCAGTCACATTATATAGGTTATCTGCACTAAGTTTAATATGATATTGTTTTGAGACGAAAATTATAGTGTTTTTGTAATTTTAATTTATTTCAACATTATTATAGTCTTTATAATTATAATTATTTAATATTTTAATCTTAAAAAAATATTATTTTGAAAATAAATACACTTATCTGCCGTAATTGCGTAAATATTTAGACAGATTAAATTTATATCTTGTTTGGTTGACCCTTTTAGACTGTTACTCCATCAGAGTATTTTGATTGGCTTATGCAACGTGTACTTGCAAAGTTTGAATGGAATCATAAGCAATAGATTCAGCTCCTTCTTTACACACAATGATTTATCAGTTGAGGTCAAATTCTGGTATATAAAAAAAAATCTATTAATTTAAAGATACGTAAAATACAATTAGCATATATAATAAGATTAAAGATATAAAAACTTGTGAGGCATAATAATATATAAATGTATAATAAAGTTAAATATTTGATAAGAATGGCGGCCCCAATCAGTTTAGCATGGATATAAAGCCAACGTGCTGTCCATTGTTAAACAGTGGGATCTCCAATCAAGAATCTTAAATAAACTAGACCATAAAATTACTTAAATAGTGATGCAACCTTTTTACATTATTTAAATTATCTGAATAATATAATTTGCATTTGTACAGAGACGAGAATCACATGTGGTTAAAAAAATGGTTTAAATATTATTTTATTAAATTTTTGGAGTTGAAAAAATGACGAATACTTTTTTTGAACTAAAAAATTGAAAGTACTCAGGAAAGAAGCCATTATGCTTGATTTGGTGACGAAGAGTTTAGTATATATTAAATTATGTGTTCAATTTCTATTATTGTATAAAAAAAAAGTACTTAGGAAAGAGTGTCATAATTTTTTTAACAAAGCAGAAATTGTTATGGTATTTATTGAATATGGTGTTTAATATGACTTATCAAGTATTTATTTAATATTGATTTATCATAAATTTTGTAAATTTCATTAAAATGCTTGAAAAGTACCATATCAAATTAAAAAAAATAATTACCGTCATATCAGCGTAATGCCCTTAAAATACATATGACCATAAAAAATGCAATGGAATGTATACAGATCATTATTTTTAATAAATATTTGGAATTTTTTTTTTTTTATATAATTTATTCTGTGAGAGAAATTTCTCATTTTTCTGTCTTCTACTATAGTTTTTTTTGGTTGGCTTCCTTTTTGCTGATAAACTATATACTGCCCTACTATTGCACATTTGCATGCTTGTTTTATAAAATGATGAAGCATGTCCATGTTAATTGTTATACATTACTACCGAAGCAATCTCAACGCAATCTGAACCTATGCCCAATTCTAAACATGACTTTGGGTTGTTGAAATTCAGAATCCTTTTGATTTGATGCTACTAACAAAGAATGAACTAACATTACCTATAATTATGTTCTTTTCTTGTCTTCTTCTTCGGTTGGGTTGAGGGTGGTTGGTTGGTGCATAAATGAAACCGGGAAAACCTCCTAACTGAAGGCCACCCAAGTCAACGGAAGTAGCAATTATATTAATTTTCAAATTTTGACTTCAATAGCTTGCAACAGTGGAACTCTCTTTTCTTTTTTAAAGGATTGACTTTTGATTTGTCAACCATTTAACTCTAGATTATTGGATGATATCGACTTCTTTAATCCAGAGTAAGTCAAAAGAGAAGAAATCCTGCTCCAATGTCCATTTTAATATTAGGGTTGAATTTTATGAGCTCCTTTTGATACTTTCTTTCTTTTACTTTGACTCGTTGAATGAATCATAATAGGAAAAACAAGTATTACGTTATAGGAAAATTCTTAGGTCATGTCATAGAGATAATTAATTGTGGAGACCACTATTTTTAAAATAAAAAAAAAGTAAAAAAATTGATGAGTTCACTTTTACATGTCTGTAGAAAAATTGGTTATGTCATATGAAAGAACGAAAACATTACCGATCATAATATGACTTGCCAACTTTTGTTGAGAATTTTTAAAGGCATTTTGAATTACTTAGTACTTGCTTTGTCTATTGAAATTGAATTCGTTTACTTGTTTTGTAACTTCGACTATGGATTTTTCTCACACGTTTAACAAATTATAGAAGGTGAGAGGTATGAAACTAAGACAGGATACCAATAATCAACAAGCATATCTTTTCCTTAACAGTCTGTCAATTTTGAATTTTTAAGATTTTTATTCGATAATCTCACATCCGAAGAGGTCGGGAGGTTGGATAAGAATATATACAGCATTTGACTTTAAAAAGAAAAAAAAAGACACTTGGAAGTTTTCCTTGAGCTCTCTTGCATGCGCATTATCCTAGTGTTCATCTTAATCTTCTTTTTTTTTTTTTCTGACAGAGACAATTTGTCAGAGTTAAATGTACATTCTACCCCTTTTATTATAACTAGTCAATATGATGCTCTTCTTTTTATTGTTATAATTGTAATGCAATAACCCCTGCATCGTTTATTAACATGTTGAATCCAAAGGAATTAACACAATTATTCATGGAAAATGTTTTTCTCATGTCGCATGAGATAAATTATATCATGCAATACACAAAAAAGTGAGTGTGACCCACGAAGAAGAGGAAGAAGAGAGAGAAAAAAAAAGTGAGTCATATCCACTTTTTTGTGTGTTGCATGAGACAAATTGTCTGATGCAACATGATAAAAACATATCTCATTATTCATATATTAAAACAAAGGCTTTAATAGCTCTCATGTTACTGCAGATCAGAAAATTTGCAGCAACACGTACTTTCACTAGGATCCGGTTCCGTATCTTGAATTTTTTTTATTTCAGGATCCGGCTCCGTATTTTATGTAAATATATTTGTTGCAACTTTTTCCATCAGCAGTGACAGTAGAAATGAGGAACCCTAAAAGAAATTGGATTTAACTATCCTAAAATGATGGATGTATTTTAGAAGAAAAAAGCGAAATTATAACAGTTGATTGAAAAATTAAGGAAGTAGATTTTAATAATTTTATAATTTATAATACACGTACATGCATTTTATCATAATCCTAACCATTGATTTTTTAATCAACAGTTATAATTATAAACTTTTTCCTGAAAGGTGCGCTTTTCATTTTAGAACAATCAGATTCAAAAGGACGTGCGATTTGGGTTTGAAAGTTGAGGTTCAAAGGGAAAATGGCAACTAGAGGATTGTGTGTTTGAGATAGTAATGTTAATTATAGCAAAAAAATATTGGAGGATTGTGTTTACTGATATACGGATTTTTGTGCCCTAGTTGCTTTCTTAGGTTACATTTACATAAACGATTACATGTAAGGCACCCCCAAATGTTGACTTCACAACTTTCTAGTTTGTATTATTTTATCCCATTGCTAACTATGATTTGTAGGATCAAATAAAATATCCAACCTAAACATGTTCAAGGTGCAAAGTTTCAGCATTTACTTCTCATTTTTCCGATGGCACTGATATATACAGCTCCAAGATGAGTCCTACTCCTAACCAAAATGGTTAAAGCTGTTAGCACTCGGCATCCTCATTGCAGATGGTCATCTTTTCAGATACGTCCTCCTTATACCTCCATCAAAGAAGGAATTATGTATGACAACTTTTATGAGCTTATTTTGTATAAAACAACCACAAATTAATGTGAGCTGGCTAATAATGTGCGAATTATATTTGAAATGATGAGACTAATTGGTCTTCAAGGTTTATGGATTACAGATGATTACAACTTAAAACCAATTAAGAGAATAATATTTAAATCTGAATCTGCAATTACATTCCAAATGGACACCAAAACTGAGGGTAAAGAGCAAAATGGCTGACAAGGATTTTATGTAGCATGTTACTGCCGGCATCACACGACAATTATCAACCAGGCACTTGTATGTTTGCCAAAAACATCAACTGGTCCAAATAAAGAAGCCAAACAGATAAGCAGCAGAAGCACTTGTAACCAGAAATATGGAAAATGGGAGCCACTGAACATCTCCGGACTTTCAGAGCCCTCCATGTCAAATTTGTTCATCATTAAGAAGCTCTTCCCCTGGACCCCGTTGCACTAGTCTGTAATACAATATACCCATAGTTGCCATGCACGCCCTGCAAATAGATCACAATAACTTCATCAGCTAAAGACTAGCAGTATGTATCACACATGAAACTCCATATAACTGAGTTTCTATACATGATTGTGGAATTAAAACATCACTGTTATCACTATGATAGCTTTCTTTTTCTTCTGAAGGCAAGTAGGTAATAGTCAATAAATATATCTTAGATAATGGGCAAGTATTAACTTACATTAAAACAGCCTACAAGTTACTTTCACCCTGGTAATGTACCACTCGCTGCGATAAAATGCCAGCTCACTTACCCAGTTGTTCCCCACTTACCCTAAACATTATTACTCAAAGGGAATTACCAGTGTGACCCAAATATAAATTTAATTGCACTAATTTCAGATCCCTGATTTTTCATCTTTCCGCCTCTAAGGCACTTCCTACTTTGGGTTATTACATATTATAGAGGAAGATAAGCAAGAACTATACATAATTGCAATCAGGAGAAGAATTTTTCTGGGGTCCATCCTTGATGATCTTTGGTGCCGTGTACGACCTTCTGAGGCTTCGGTCGCATTTGATGCATCTTTCCTTGGGGGTGCAGTCACTGGTAGAGTAGGTAAAGCACTAGACCAGAAAGGGAGCAATGCTCTAAGAAACTTATGGTGGAACGGACCTACACTTTCAAAGATGAAAGTTTGAATTAATAAATTGAAGTAGAAAAGGTTCTCTATGTGAGAGCAGAGGAAGCCTAAGTAATCAGAGGAAGGCATGTCAAATCTTAATCACACAATTTTACAATATTAAAAATTCATTCAAAAATAATATATCACCTCTTTTTGTATACTTTTTACGATTCGCATCTTCATCATCAGCATAATATGAGATTTCAGAGTTCTGTCGTTCAACATGGAGTGAGCCCTTCCTTGTGGTAGCACCGGGCTAAATTGTTTACAATAAGAAGAAAATTATATAAGAAAAAATATCAAATACATGAAAGAAGATAAACTCACACTGGAATAAAACGAGAAAATTCAGGCCTACTTATTAAAAGGACAGATAAATGCAAAAACAGAATTAGTGCATTGAAACAATCCTCTTACACCAACAGGGCTTGAGCCTTTCTTGAAATTTGCTGCTGAATTAGGACTATCTATCTCCACGATATCTGTCACCAAAAGTTTAGAAGGTTCTGATCCAGTTGCATGTGAGTATCCATCTACTAAGTCTGAGTTTCCATGATTTTCCCTACTAATCAATGGATCTGAAGCAAAAGCAGGTGGAGGACTACGCGATTCTGTTACAGACAATGAAACTGGATGATTTCCAAAGATACTTTTTTCCATACCAGTCTGCACAAAAAACAGATAAAAACTAATGAAAATTCTATTTATATAATGAGGAGAAAATAGACAAGGAAAATAACTCCTTGCGCCAAAAAAAATGTACATGTGCATTTATATAATTAAAAGAAAGGCAACTTTTCCACATCAATAATCAACAATTTACCACTATAATCATAGATCAGTGGTACAGCACAACTATTGAGCACCCTCCATTTAATTAAAAATCAGACATGATGCCTTGAATGAGTTTTCCAGATGGTATATCAAATAACCCTTAACATAATCTCTTCCATGGTGACCAAGAAGTTTCTGAACAAACATGAGATGAGCATGAAAGAGAAACTAGTAGTATTGAAGTATATGAATAGTCCAAGCATATGCAAGTAACATAAATTCTTGTGTTTGGTCTGATTGGTCCTGACACTGAAGCATATTGGCATTCCATATTATACCATTTCATAATCCTCAGTTAATAAACCAGAAGACCAACACAGATCTGAGACAACAGGGATATAGACATGGACATGGCTTCATTTTTTAACTGTCCATGGTTCACATGTCTCAAGCCTATGCATCCCAAATGGCCAAACTCACAATACTATGATTGCTGTGGATTTCTGGCTAGTTATTCTCCAACGATAAAGATTATACCAATAAAACCCTCAATTTGCCAACTCATTTCTAATCTATATTCCATAACTGTGACAATTGAATATATTTTTAAATGGCAACATAAGACATCACTACATCCGTTTATGACTGCAAGGTTGTTCCAGTTTTTGTATGTCAAGAAATATACCTTGGTATAATCTCATAAAATAGTAAAATAAGTTACCCCACCAAATAGTATCCATTTCACAAATCACCTGCATGATAGCTTCCTTCAACTTGGTGTGAAGACGAGATGCCGAATCTTTCACGCTTTTGGGAGGCCATATCTGCACGAGTTATTTCACCCAAAATGAGACATCGAAAGGAAAGGAGACTTTTTGCCATACAAGTGCCTGAAGAAAGTTCTAAAAGATGAAAGCATAAGTTCAACAAGTCACGTGTATGTAGCTAGAGTACCAATTTTCAAAATTAATTAACCGAGCTTCTATTTTACTATGCAACTATTTTCATGATAAGTTTCGTAAGACAAGCCATTAGATAATGGTTTTAAGCAAGCACTAACAAATAACAATTTCCTTCTGGTGATTCTATCTACATCACAATAATTAAGAAATTCAGTTTAAAAAGAGAATGAGTAAAATGAAGAGAGAGAGAGAGAGAAATAAAGGTTAGAAATATTGCATGTTGTTTTCTTTTCCCTTTTTATACATGTCGCTCTAGGCTCCTATAACACCATGAACCAAACGTTAATTTTTCAACATAGTTAGGCAAAATCAAGAAAACTTTCAGTTAAGATTAATTACAACATAAGTACAACAAGTCATGACAATATTTGCTAAGACAAACCGTCAGTTTAAGGTTTTAAAGGAGACACTAGCAATCCCCTTTTTGGAGTTTCTATCTACTGTCGATAATTAGGATAAAGAAAGAAAGAAACATAGGAAAAGAACATAACATGTTTGTTTTCCTGTTCGCATATAATGCTAAAGGAACCTAGAACACTGTGAACCATACTTTGACATTTGAACTTAGCTAGACAAAAACCATGTACTGCCTTTCAGTTAAAAACACATATATTAACACACTACTTTCAACCAAAAATCTTACTAAAGAAGAAGGAAATCATTTGAAGGTAAATCTTACCGAAGTGGAACATGAGGGACACACATATCCTGCTGGAGCAGTATGTGGGGGAAAACTCTTGATATGTGAGACCAAGCAATTTGTGTGGATAACATCTATTTACAAAATTGAAATTCATAACATGTAATCAGTTCAAGGTGATGTTGATGTTGAATATGTAATCAGTTCAAGTTCAACAGGATTTATTTCAAAGGAATACATAAACGAGATCACATACGCAAGCAACCCAGTCGAGTAGTTTGAGATCCAGTCCCTTCTTGTAAAATAGCTTCACATTGGCAGCATTTAGGGGGCCAATCATACTCCCCATCTATAACCCATTCTGAATAAGTCCGGATCTATGAAAGACAACAAAACAAACAAGCTCAACCCCATAAACTGTACAGTTTGGTACATACATATTTGGACAAATCACGAACCTTATTATTTGTTTGAGAAGCCAAATGAGGAAAGAATAAAAGAAATGAAAATTATTAATGTATAAATATTGTATCAAATCAAGATTCATATCAAATTTCCTTTCCATCTTTTTGATATTCCCAAAATAAAGGCTAAGATACATCTACAACATGGTCCCTGGTAAAACTCAAGACAAAACTAGAATCAAATGTAAGTATTTGACCATGAAACAATGACAAATTTTAATACATTAAACGAAAACAAAACCATATTGAAATTGGAATTGAAGAAAGAATGAGCAAGAGAACAAGGCCAGGTTTGCATAAATTCGAATAGGATAATAATAAAAGATACAAATTGAAAAAATTTACCACGCAGATTTGGTGCTCCGGGAAGCAGATACATTCTCCGCAGACAGGAACTTTGTGCACGAAGCAATATAACTTAGTAGCCTAAAACACCAAAGAAAACACACCACATAATACCATTAGTTCTAATTCTAAGCAAGGAAATGGGAAACAACAATCATGGCTTTCCATCACGCATTTACATATAAAAAATATTAACATAAATCAAATAATACAAAATGCAAAAGCTCGTAGATCACTCGTAATTGATCTGAATTTACGATACCAATCCGATCTACATACCCAGCTAACAAATCAAGCATAATTGGCTAAACCAAATTCGGGGTTTTGAAAAGAAAAACAAAAGGGCACGAACTGTAAGCGGGGAAAGAGGAAAGAGCGAAACCTTGCGACATTTGCAGACCACCATTGCATTGAAGGGTATAATCCAATTGAATCTGATATGATATTGAAAGCTTCTGAAAAATTCAGGTGGATTCGAAAAAGAGATTTGAAGAGAAGAGCAAGATCAAATAATCATAATTACGAAAACAGAATTGCTCGAAGTTTGATTCACTGATATTGTTCCTTGTGTTGATAACAGGTTCAGCTCACTGCGAACAAAAACCCCTCTCTTACGTATGACAATGAGATCCATTTGAGTTTTTATTTTTACTTTTATTTTTTTCATCTCCTAATTAATTAAGGGTTAGGATATTCTAACTAACAAACAATGCGTTACTATCAATGCTACTACCAATCAATTTCATCGTTAGATCGATTATGTTCATCTAACGGTTATATTTATTTTCATCTTTGAACATTAAATATTGGAAATCATAACCATACAAAGGTGAAAATAAATTAAAATATTAAATATGAAAAATCATAACCATGTAAAGATGGAAATAAATATAACCGTTGGATCAACGTAATCGATCTAACGATAAAATTGATTGATAGTAACACTAGTTGGTTGTTACAATATCCTTTTTCATTAATTAATTCCATAGGCAAAAATAAATAAATAAATAAAAAATCAACTAGTCACGAATTTAGGCCATAGTTGGATTTATTTTTTTTTGTTTCTTCGACCGATCATCTTTTAAATTAGTCCAGTTTAAATACTATTAGACCCGCGATTCTTCTAAAATCATTTTTTTTTTCATTTTCAGGACTTAAACTCGAGACTTCTTAATAAACACAAGCTTCTTATCTATTTTGTGTTTAAAGGCCATAGTCCTATTAGCATGTAAAGTTTTTGCATTTTTATAATTATTTATAAAGATAAAAATATTATATTCTTCTATATATCAATGAAATTATGATTGTAATTACGCAATTAATATTTGTACTGCAGATGGAAAAACTAAAGTTAATTACCAAAAAATTATAAATTAAACTAAGGTTGATGGAAGTTTTTCTCATGTCATATTTTTTGGCATGAGCTGTATTTTCTATCAAGAAAGGAAGAAGAAACAGATAAAATCAGTATAAAAATCCTAATATGATTTTTTTTTATTTCATAATTCGTAAGGACTAAATAAGAAACAATCAAACTATGTTGTTATTTATGATTTTAATGAAATGATTTTTTATTCTTTAATTTCCCATGTTTAATCTTAATTGTATATAGGTTGCTCAGAGAGTATAAAAACAGGGTAAACAACTTCTGTTTTCAAAGGAGAAGTTTTTTTTGGTGCATCACTCACATTTCACAAGCATTGAAATGTGTGATATATTTTTTATTTTGTTTTTTTCAAAACAACCAATGGACTCCACCAAAAAACTGTGATATATTTTTTATTTTGTTTTTTTCAAAACAACCAATGGACTCCACCAAAAAACTATTCGGAAAAAACAACTTCTCCTGAAGAAGTTGTTTACCCATAAAAGTATAGGATTTTATTTCTCATATGTCACATATTTCTAAATTTTATCTCCTACTCTCACTTCCATTTCTGTGTTCTATTTTTTTCTCTTTTCTTTTTAAAAAAATTAAGTGGGTCCCACCATTTATTGTGAGAGTAGGAGAAAAGATTTATCTTAAGTGGCATAAGAAAAATAAAACTCAAAAGTATATATAGAAATAATTTGAGTACAATAGAATGTTTTCTTCTGCTTAGTTAAGAACTATATTTGTTTCAGGTAAAAATAAATAAAATGAATTTCACATAAACGTAGCAAACTATGTTTTTCTTTCAGGTGTTGATTTTGTTGTAAGGTGAACAAGTATCACCAGTAATCTAGACAAGAACAACTCCCATCCTTAAAATGGTGAAACCGATTTCGATCTCTAACTATAATATCTCTTTGATATGCCGCTGATATTAGCTTGGTAATAGCATGACAATCCCCACAAACTCGAAGGTTTTTAATAATTCTTACAGGCAAACTTGAAGGAGATGCTATAAGAGCAAATGCTATAGCTAGCCTTTCGCTGTGGTAAGAAAGGACATCTTCCTTGTCTTCTTCTTCCACATCAAACAAAACCTCTGATGTTCTTGGCTTGTGACCATATTCTAGGAGTCTTCTATTTATCTCCTCAATCTTCAAATATATTTCTTTTGAAAATGGATGAGTTTTGTCAGCTGTGAGAAACTCGTGCATGGCACCATCAATCTCCACTAAGCTAAATCCTGGCAACTTGTTAACCCCATGATTTTTCATCAGCATCCTCACTCTCTTCACATCATTCCACCTAGCAATGCTAGCATACATATTAGACAGAAGCACATAGTTTCCACTAGTTTCAGGTTCTAACTCTATTAAGTGTTTGAGAGCAACTTCCCCCATCTCTAAATTGCCATGAAGTCTTGCTGCACCAAGTAAAGATCTCCACAAAATTGCATTTGGTTTCATGGGCATATCTTGTAACCTCTCCTCTGCCTCCTTTAATCGCCCAGCTCGACCCAGAAGATCGATTAGGCATCCATAATGCTCAAGTTTTGGTTCCATCCCATGAACCTCCTTCATGGACTCGAATATCTCCAAGCCCTCCTCTACCAATCCAACATGAGAGCACGCAAACATACTAACCACAATAGTTGCACCATCAGGAACTAAGCCCTCAAGTTCCATCTTTCTATAAAGCTCAAGTGCCCGATTCCCATGACCATGAACTGCAAACCCCCCAATCATGGCATTGTAGCAAAATGTGTCCCTATCAGGCAACTGATCAAACAACTGATATGCCAGATTCAGACAGCCACATTTGGAATACATATCCACCAGTGCAGTTCCCACAAAGCGATTCAGCTTAAGATTGTTCCTCATCACATAACCATGAGCCCAAGCACCTTGACTAAGAGCACCTAAATTAGAACATGCAGTTATCAATGCCACAAGTGTAACTTCATTAGGCCTTATTTGAGAAAACTGCATGTCAGTGAACAAAGACAATGCCTCAAAGGACATATCAGCATCTTCAAAACTGGTTGAGTAACTATAACTGGCACTATTTGCATATGCAGCCAACATGGTATTCCATGTGGCCAAGTCAGGTTCACTAATTTGATTGAACAGACATGTTGACACACACAATTTTCCATATTTAGCATAGAAATTGAGCAATGAGGCTTGAACAAAGTTATCATAGGGGGGTTGAAGGAATTTCAAAACATGGGTGTGGAGGGGTGGACCATATTGGAGCCATGGGTGAGAGGCACAAGCCTTGAAGAGGGAAGGAAAAGTGAAGCTATTGGGTTGGAGGGTCTTGTGGGTGAGAATTCGGTTATAAAGTGAGAAGGCTATATGAACTTGGTCACTGTGACTAGTCAATGAAGAAATGAGTGTATTATAAAGAAAAACTGTTGGGGTTGGGACACAGTTGAAGATGGTAAGAGCGTAGGTTGAGGCAAGTTTGGAGGATATATTAAGGAGGTGACCGAGACAGTATGTATGGAGTGCAAGACCAGTTGTTATCATTTGCGCATGGGCTTGCTTAAGGGTGTTGAGGCTGTGGCATCTCTGCACTATTTGAAGAATTGGGTGGTTAAATATGGGGTTTTGGGATTTCATAAAATCAATTAATAAAGTTGATGGATGCAAATCACAGAGATTTTGCAGACCACCGCTGCATCCACTGGTATAATCTATAATCAATAACCAAGAAGACAAAGTGGGACAGACAAAAAAAATATGAATTAAAAAAAATAAAACACTATACGGACTGCATTAAGAGATGGGCCGGGCCGATATATTGTCCAACAAAACCCATTTTACATTTTTGCCAACTTTGGTTCGGCTTGAGATTAATCCAAATCAAAATCATATTGTGAGGGTGGCAAAACACGACATCACCACTTGCGGGTCGACTCGCAATTCGACAACTTAAAATATATTGGGAAAAGTTATTTATGTTTCTGTTATTTATTTCAGAATTATTTATATTTTTGTAATTTTTTTATCACATATATTCATGTGATTTGTAAAAAGGTTTATTTTTTTTGTCATATATGTCCCTGTGAGTCTTTTACTTTTTACAAACTACATAGATATATATGTGATAAACAAAAAACTACTGGGACATAAATGATTCTGAAACAAACCAGAAAGGCATTGATGAACTTTTCCCAAATATATATTGTGTAATATCGTGTTAATATGTGAATTCAAATGAGTTATATATGAGTTTGAGTTTTTGACATGAATTAATGTCGTCTCGTGGTATAGATTGACATGCACGACCCACGTGTCGATCTAAGAATATTTTTGTTACTTTACGTTATAAAATTCTATTAATGTGTTCTGTCAACCCATGAGTATGAGTGTCAATTTTAGATTTTTTTGTATTTTTTATTTTTTTGTAAACAAACTCTCAATTTTTTCGTGTTGTGTCATACCGACCCATAACTCGTAGCGGATTGTGTCCGAGTTCGAGTTTTTGAACCGTCAACAAAAACACATCATATACGGGTTGAGCCATTTTGTATTCGTGTTGTACTCGTTTTGTCACCCTTACATATTGCATAATACTTATACACTATTATAAATAGTGGAGCATTATTCTTACAACTTCTTTTCATTTACAACTCCTAATAATTTATTTTTCACTGTTAATTTTCGTCAATCCAACGATTATGATTTATTAAGTCATATTTATTAATTAATTATTAATTTTAATAAATTACAATCGTTGAATTTTGACGAAAATCAATGATAAAAAAAATTTGTAAAAAGTTATAAAACTTGTTGTTGTAAATATAACACTCCTCAAATAAATATATTTTTCCATTTCCCAATGATTATTATTATTATTTTCAAAATATATTAAAGTAATTATTTATGTAAATCCCACCGGTAATATGGATGTGAGTCATGTGACAGTACTGATATCCACTGTTCTTCTGGTTTGAAATTTGAACTCTCTTATTCTCTCCCTGACCCTTCATTCCCAAAATTTTGAAATCGAAGCAACCCCAGACATGACAACTGTGCTGCCGGCGACGGCGGCGCCCGGACGAGAGCTGTCGAATCCTCCGTCGGACGGCATCTCCAACATGCGGTTCTCCAACCACAGCGATCATCTGCTGGTGTCCTCATGGGACAAGGTATGTTCCGGTTCCTCAAATTTGTCACTTCTCTTCCTCTACGGTACCTCTGACCTTCCTCCTGTTTGTGATCACATCAGAGCGTGCGGTTATATGATGCGAGCGCAAATGTGCTGAGAGGAGAGTTTATGCACTCTGGCCCCGTCCTCGATTGCTGCTTCCACGATGATTCTTCTGGCTTCAGTGCTGCCGCTGACAATACTGTTAGGAGGTTAGTCACTCTCAATTCTTCTACTTTCATCATTCATTTAATTAAGATGATGTTAGGTTTTAATTTGTTCTTCAAAGCTACCTAATTGAGCTTGTGACGCAGTTAGTTATACTATTGTTATTATTATTATGGTCCAGGCTCGTTTTCAGTTCTAATAAGGAAGATATTCTAGGAAGACATGATGCACCTGTTCGTTGTGTTGAGTACTCCTATGCCGCAGGTTTCCTTCTCCACCCTTCACAATCTCCTTCCTCTCTTTTTTTATTATTATTATGTCATTGAATTCCTAAAGTAAAGAAACTACTCTTAAAAGGATACAGAGATGAAACAAAAAATTCAAGAGAAAAAACACACCAATTTCCTAGAAAATTTAAATTATTCATAGATAGTCCGGTTACAAATTAAAATAAACCAATAAATATATATAGCTAGTGTCAGGATACTGCTTAGTGCTTTGGCGATACTTTTGAAGGACCAGATTTTAGATACTGTTCTATGACATTACACATATCTGTGGCAGCATAACACATATAATTGTTGTACACTCATGCAAACGTGTGGAACCGGACATTACTAGGGTGTTCTGCCAATACCAATTCTCTCTTCTTGCTACAGAAATTTAGATGTATGGATTACTCGTTAAAGGTTCATGTCATAGTTGTTACAAAAATTTACATTTCACTTGGTAGCTAAACTTTCCATAACTGCTGGATTTTGTTCACTTTGTGATTGACAAATAAGTAGTTAATTGCTTAAATTGACCGACACCTTGTCTGGTTGTAATGCCCGGATATGTCATCTCTCAGATTTAATGTTGATATCATATGCTGCTGATAAATTGCAAATTTAATATTTTTCTGCTATTAGTAGCCTGATTAATATTGTTATCTATGGCCTTTAGGCACTCTAATTCACTCTTCTGAGTCCTTCTGGCTCATTTTAATGTCAATCAAATGCATGTTTTGTTTATGCTTCTTTCTTGCCACCCAAACTAAATGAGTCATTTTGCCAGAAAGTTGTAGTAGTAGCTGAAGATATAGCTCCTTAAAATTTGGGTAAAAAGGAACTATAATTACTTGTGTGCTCTCTAAAACATCAACGGAATCAAGCTGTTAAAACTTACGAAGGCATTACTGGAATAATATTAAGGATGTACAGTCTACAGTGTGTAGCTTCTCCTGAAATGGACCATGAGGAAGGTATACTGTTCCTGAAATTAAAATCAGAAGATGATCCTTTCTGTTAGACTGTAAAGAGTTGTGGCCTTGCTGTTTAATGCTCCTTTTAACATGAATTATAAATTTCTAATCATATGATATATCACCTTTCAGTTTAATTATCATTCTTAACTTGTACCTGACAATGTCAAGCTATGCAGCTTCAATAGTTATTTTCTCTTATTTGGTGGAAAGTTGACAATATGCTATATTCTGTCTCATCTGTCATTATAGGGCAATTGATCACTGGTAGTTGGGACAAAACCCTGAAATGTTGGGACCCTAGAGGTGCAAGTGGGCAAGAGCGCACACTAGTTGGGACATATCCACAACCTGAGCGTGTTTATTCTCTCTCTCTGGTTGGACATCGTCTAGTTGTAGCAACAGCTGGAAGACATGTTAATGTTTATGATTTGAGGAACATGTCTCAACCTGAGCAACGAAGAGAATCCTCATTGAAATATCAAACAAGATGTGTGCGCTGTTACCCAAACGGAACAGGTAAACTTTAACTTCTGACCATTCTTGAATTACTTGCATAACTTGAGGTTTGCATTTTGCTTCAAAACAATTGTGCTGGGCCAATAGCTGGTCTATTTTGCTCATGCTTTGTGCTTTATGTTGTTCATAAGAACATAAAAGTAGAATTGATTGAAAGATGAACCTACAATAAACTTCCCAATATCTAAATGCATGATAGTTATTAACTCACATTTTTTTTGTATGATTATAGATTCGAGAGATGACACACTGATTCCTGTTGTGTTTCTTAGCCTAGATATTTCTTACACTTCATACTTGTGCAACTACTTTATGCAGGTTACGCACTTAGTTCTGTTGAAGGGCGGGTTGCAATGGAATTCTTTGACCTCTCTGAGGCTAGTCAAGCAAAAAAGTAAAGATTTCCTTGTATATTTTTATGTTTTCCCTTTCTAATACTACTGTGATATGATATGAATATTTTGAACTTCTTCTCAGTACATTTGATAGTGTTGCAGTCCATAAGAAAAATAGCATATGTTCATCAACTTTTACCACTTATTGACTTCTGACCTTCGTGCAGATATGCTTTTAAGTGTCACAGAAAATCAGAAGCCGGAAGGGACATCGTCTATCCTGTAAATGCAATTGCATTCCACCCCATGTAAGTATTTTAGAGTTCTTTGTCACCCGGATTTTATTATCTCCTTAATTTAATGAGACACTTTAAAGAGGATTTTAATTGCGTGCTTACTTGTTTCTCTCGGATTCACAGTGTCAATCGCTATAGCTTGTATCATTCAAGGAAATTGTTGAGAATATAAAGTGTATTAAGAAAATTTTGTTGGTTAAGTAAGTAGTTACTTATTGTTCATCCAAAGCAGAGGGTATAAATGCTCTTTTACAGTTGTAGTTAGAATCAACACGTGGAGGCTGCAGATGAATGTTTTTATTACAACTACCCAGAATCTCTAATAAATTATACTTTCGTGTGTTCCCTCTTGTTAACTCCTTCCATATATAATCCCTAAAATTTCAAGAGCTTCAAAGATGAAAAACGGTGACTTCCCTTTAAACAGAATTTGGAATTGGATGGTGTTGTGCATGTTAGGATTACCAACTCATACGTTGACTTGATCGTGATTAATAAAATGCTTTATAAAAAATCTGCCTGCAGATATGGCACGTTTGCCACGGGAGGGTGTGACGGGTATGTTAACGTATGGGACGGAAACAACAAGAAGAGGCTGTACCAGGTTTTTATTTTCTTCTTGCTTTGAGTAATTTGAGTGACCAGATTTTTCTTATGCTAATAAATTCAGTTACTAAATTGCCTTTATCTCTTCCAGTACTCAAAATATCCAACTAGCGTTGCTGCACTCTCGTTTAGTAGAGATGGACGCCTCCTGGCTGTTGCATCAAGTTACACATTCGAAGATGGGCCTAAACCGTAAGTCACCCTTACCTCTCTAATATATACAGATGCTAGCTTTAATTAACTTGTTCGTTTCTCTTACAGCCACGAACAAGATGCTATCTACGTTCGCAGTGTAAACGAGATTGAGGTTAAGCCGAAACCCAAAGTCTATACCAATACTCCAGCGTGATCCTTGATGTTGAAAATAGAAATTTCTTCTATCATTTATAATGTATTGTGCACTTGCTCACTTCCCTATTGTGAATTGCAAAAACTACATGTAAACCATTATTGTGAAACACAAGTGTTGCGTTTCTCCCTCAATTTTCAACTCCGCATTAAGGCCAGTATATGTGTGCGTTGGACAAGTTCAAGCTCCTAGATTAGTTTCAGCTCCAGAAGTATAGGGAGCTCTGGATCCAATGCCTGAGAATGTTACATGTCAAAAAATCTCAAGGATCGTTTGCTATATAGCGCAAATATGGTTCTGTATTTTTTAATCAGCTTGTTCTTATCGAAACAGACCGTTTAATATTATTGGGTTACGGATAAAATTCAATCTGATTCCAAATGAAATGAACATCGCAAAGTGTCTACTGACCCCAACACGAAGGATAAATAGGGGCCGGGAGGGTGCTTTAGACACACTTCAAAAGAAATAATCATACAAAGGTGTAGAGAATGCAGCCATCAAGTCTATCACTTTGGTAATGGTTCCATATATACAACTCAAGAAAGTTATCCCTAAGCCCTGGTCATTTTCTTTAGTTGTCGAAGATAAGCATAGGTAATTCAAGTATAGAATTATATATCACATCACCCAAGAGCCATGATACAGACTTTATACGCTATCCGGAGAAATTTTCCATTTGGCCTTGATATAAGAACAAGATAGCTGCTTGACCTTTATACTAGGAGCCAACTTAAACCAAAACCCTTTAAAGGGGTTGGATGCAGAGCAGAATAAGTGGCCCCATGTTTTGTGTGATTTACCTAAATCCTGAAGGAGCCACTTGAGGATTGCCACCAGGTTGTCTCCTGGCAGCTCTTGATTGAGCAAGCATTCCATCATAATCCTGAACCAGAAAGTAACCCTAAGTATAATATGCATGATATGTTAACAGGGAATAAACTTTAATAGCAATGAAATATTACCCGCTTCTCAAATGTAACATCCCTCGAATCAATTATTTTGTCAGCAATTCCGTAGTCTATGGCTTCCTGGGCTTGAAGATATTTAGGCCTCTGGACATCCTTAGCAATTTCTTCCTTTGATTTCCCTGTTCCTTTTGCCAACAGCTCAATGTAATACTCGGTATTTGCATCCAGCTCTTTTGCCTGTTTGTGTTTACCAATATAATTTATAAATAGAATGTCTAAAACAATGATAGAGAGACAATATAAAGAAGAGAACAAGCAGGTAGACAGTACCTTAATCCACATATCTATAACAGCACCACTCGATCTGTTGACTTTTGGGAGATATAATTTCACTGCAATAGAAAACAGTTTAGAAGCCACAGGAAGGAAGAAAGTAGGTTCTAATTGTTTCAGAAATAAATAATATGAAACCCACACACAAACAGGAAAAACAATAACTAATTAATGGGGGGCCAATAGCATCTTTTCATCCATGGTCATGTAGGCCATGTTTTTTTGTAGAAGATAATAGCATTGAATAAAGACCAAAATTATTTCATTTGTTACTTGAAAATCAGGTTGCTTTTCACCAGTCCTATGGCGCGACCTCACAGTTTCAATGTAAAATATTGACTACTGGGGTCTAATTTCACACAGATCATAACTCTACCCTCTTTATTGTTGGGCTCTCGAAGAACTAGAATTTGATAAACAAATCATTTGGAAAATACTTCTTGACAGGCATATTAGTAGCCATTTGATCAAAGATGTAATATGTGACAACAAAACGGATGATTATGAGATTACAAATCAGTAGTCCATTGTCCAATCTTCATATATACCAATGAATCAGATATAAAGTATAGGCTCTAGAAGGAAGCATTCATTAGAAGTTCCAAAAAATCACAATAAATAAGTGAATGCAATCAAGTAAAACTTTTCAAAAGTTTACATAGATATGATACGTACTAGATGAATTTGGCTGCACAGCACGATAACCCTTTGTTCCAAGCGACAAAAGCATTGCTGCTTGACCATATGCCATGCCACAATTCACAGTATAGACGTCTGATTTGACATACTTCAGGCAGACAGAAAAAAGATTAATTCAAAAATTAAGTTTAGAGAGATAAATAAAATACAGCCTTGAGGTGTGTTTAGAAGTGGCAATGATTGATGATAACAACTTACAGACATCATATCAGCTATGGAATATGCCTCAGTTTCTGATCCAACAGTCTCATTCTTCTCATTCTAAACAGAAAAAAGGGGGAAAACCAATTATATAAATCAACAGCTCATGCATTACAAGTGAAATTTTTACGACAATGACTATACCACTTACCTGAGTCCCAGATGAATTAATATATAAGTATATAGGTTTGTTAGGGTTATCATAATCCAACCACATAAATTGAGCAACAAGAAGTTCTGTTACAGCTGGTACAATCTGTACAAATCATAAAGAGGAATATCAAGATGACCGGGATAAAAGATAGAACGCATATATCAAATACAGAAGCTGAATATCTAATAGAGAAACAAAAAACATGTAACATCGGCACCATGCTAGATATCAAAATGAAACATGTCACAATGCTTACCGGCATACCCAGATAGCATATTCGAGCATCCAAGAGCAAAGAAGGCAGATCTGGAGGAGCAGTTCTAGGCCTTCCAGCTCCCCTACCTCCTCCTCGATACATACTAACACTCATGCTATATTTTGAAGGGCCATTATTGGCCATGGTAGATAGACTCCACATCCCACCATGATCCAAATAATTCTGGGCAGATGAGATGCTTTCCTGTAACAATGATTAGGTAAGAACACTTCTGAACTGTGGAAATTCCCGTAATAAAACTTGGGTGCTTTGCAAAATCAACTCCCCAATCAACAATTGGGTTATCAATAGGCAATTTTGCAATCATAATATCACAGCCACTTAGATTATATCAAGAGGATATATGGAGAAAACCTCTGTTACTCTTTCAGACTGCTGGCGGATAGGATTATCTTCAGTCATGAACATGTCCATTTGGGAAGGAGTAAGGCCATATAGATATTGAGGTGCATTCTTGTAGTTGTCCATCACTGCAAATAATAGGGAAGATAAAAGTCAAGGTCGGGCACCCAATTTTTAAACTTTTCAATCGAACATGAATAAGAGCCTCTTGAAGGGTTTATTTTTATTTTTATATATATTTGGGTAGAAATTACACTCTACCTCCCTTCAGTTTTCATCCAAATTAATTTTACTGCACCAATTAGAAGCCTTACATTAACCTGGCCCTGACCGTCATGTTTCATAAGTAAACTTTACCCCCTTGTTTGCCTTGAAGATATAGAAACATTGAAACTGTAAATAAATTAGTCAAAACTGACAATGAAGATGCCGCCTGCTGTTATTTTCTTAGCCAAAACTTGTCATAGCCTTGCTCAATGTTGTGTCTTCTAGTGTTTACAACCAGAATTCATGGTGTCATAATTTTCTTTTCCTTCAATTTATGCACATAATTCACAATCTCAACTACTAATGCTTTTGAAAAGACAAATCTGAGTGCATCTTATTAAAATCCTTTCAATTTAGGTGAAAAAAATGATAACTTGAATTTAAGGAGCTGTGATTCACGCTTTTGAAACTTAACGGGTGTAAATCATACAATTCGAAAGTTGGTACACTAAATTTAGTTTGGACAGAAGCTTCATTGAGGTAAAGTGTAATTCGATATAAGTTATTAACTCAAATCGTCAGCAATGACCAAGCACATATACTCACTCAATAAGAAATAGATGAACCACAAATAAACTCCACAGGAAAATTTGTTGGGGGAAAAACAACGATTATGATAAAAGTAAACATAACTATGTTAACGCGCTTCCGCTATTTCGGTTTCAAATACATGATAAACTTGATTGAAGAGACTCTGCAGCGCACATAGTTAGACAAGCATCATCATCAATCACAAAGAAAGCACTAAAAGAATTCAAACCCAGCTTAAAAAACTCCATATATTTTCATGTTCCTGCTCTAGCTTTTCTTAAAACCAAGTGTTAAAGGGGTTTTTTTTTTTAATTTTTCTTTTCTTTTGCATCCAACAGAGTAAAAAAGTGCAAAAACTCACAGCCATCCTTGAGATTTTGCTGCCTGAACTGCTTCGGGATATGGTCGAAGGAGGACTTGGCAGAAGGAGACTTGAAGCAACGCGGTGCCAATTTGGTCCTGGGGTTAGGAATCAGAAAAAGCTTCGTTCCATGGAGGAAAGAGTGTGCAGAATCATCGATAAAGGGTGCAGAGAATGGTGACAAGAGAGAAGAGGCCATGGAAATGGCTAAAAAGAATTCAAAACACAGTCACAGATTTTCCGATGAATGGATGAAAGAGACAACAGTGGACGACGAATGTTGTTTTCGTTCCAACGGCGAGCAAGATACACACGATGACACGAGAAAACACTGTCCAGTTCTAGTGGTAATCGGGTTCGGGTATTGTATGTCCACCCATTTTCTCTAAACTCCTAGAAGTTTTTTTTTTTTTTTTTTTTTGACTAAACAACTCTTAAAAGTTCTTAATAAGAAATTAGTGTTTGTTTTTTTAAATGATAAAGTAAGATAAACATAAATAATGATAAGAGAAGGTGGGAGGTTTTTTTTTAATTTAAATATTAAATATAAATATTAATTTTAACCAAATTAATTATCTTTTAAAAAGATAAATATTTTTCCTTTTTAATAATAAGGGTTAATTATTTTTTCCATTACAAGAAATATTATTATCTCACACAATTTAAAATTTAATATTTTTTTTACAAATAAAAACAAATTATATACAAAAAAAAAAGTGAGTTAATTTTGTTTTTTTTTCTCTTTCTTTTGCTCTTTAAATGAGATACCCTATATTGTGGAAGTTATTAGCTAATTACAAGAAAAACATTAATCCAATAACTTAAAGGGATATGTTTTTCTCATGTTGCATGAGACAATTACACACAAAAAAATGGGTAGAATTCACTTTTTTCTTTTCTCTCTCTTATTCTTAGTGGGTTCCACTTATTTTTTTTTGTGTTGCATGAGACAATTTGTCTCATGCAACATGAGAAAAACATTTCCCTAATTTAAATATATAAAAAAAATTTCAACCCAGAATAACATAAAACAACTAATTAAATGTAAGGATTAGTGTTTTTCATGTTACAAGAGATAAAATTATCTCCTACAACTAGGGGTGTTCGGGTTTGGATTTGATCGGTTTTGAAAATAAAAATCATCTTATCTAATCCCTTCAGTTTCATCATATAATTATCCATTCGTTTTGAATTTTTTTTCGGTTTGTACCGGATCGATTTTTGATTTTTTGAAAAGCTTAAAATTTGTTTGATGAGTATTGTACAAATAACATATCTTTTGTATGTATTTGCTTTATAAAGTTTTTTTTTTTTTTGAAATACAGAAACATTAGCAAACGATAATCTAGTTTTTTTTTGGATAATGAGATACGAAACTTTATACAGATGAAATTTTGGTGAGAGGGTGTGGTTAGGTTTTTTCTTGAGTTTAGCTAATAGATTAATGGGTCTTGAGTTTAGAAATTTTTGGATTGTGATTTGGGAAAGGCCCAGGTAGGTAGAGGGAAATTAATATATTAGATCAGTTTTTACCAACCAAACCGAAAATCGATCAAATTTAATTAAAATTTGTGACTTTTTTTTTATTTTCAATTTTTCAATTTTTAGTTAATTCGGTTATCGATTTTTCGGTTCGGTCATCGCAGTTTGAATCGGTTTGGATCAGTTGATGAACACCCCTACCTACATGCTATAGCACATAAAAGTATGTGGGATATATGTTTTCTTTTTCTCTCTCTTCTCTTCATATGATTCCATGTGGGCTTTACATATTTTTATATATATAATAAATAAAATTATCTCCTATAACATAAGAAACATTAATCCCTTAAATGTAATTTAATTATATAATTTTTTTCACTCTACCCCAATTACATTAGATTTTGTTTAGGATTTAAGTACTCATTCTGTATTTTCTTCTGTCGTGAACTTTGAAGTTTGAAACTCTGCGAGGGTGATGGGGTCCGAAGTGGAGTGGCACTGGCATTATATGTCTTGAATATGTGACATAGTGAGTGACACGTACGTTAGCCACAGGCCCATAGTGCTATGGGCCATATGGAAACGCATAAGAAGTAACAAAAAATACATAGGAGATATTTGGAGAATGAAGGAAAGCTAGTCTTGGAAACACGTGCAAGATTAGCCTTCTGAATTGGATGCATGGCTTTTGCAACCAAGGTTTGGTAGCATGTACCTGGGTTTTGAAGGATAAAAAGAAGGGGTTTTGAGACTTTTTGACCCTTTTGCCCCTCATTAATTAATTAATAACCAATTTGCCCCTGATCAAGAACTATCCACCAACCTGCCCCCTTTTAGTCGACTACCTTGCTGTTTTAGTCGAGCAAATGGTCAATCTTCAGAAAGTGGACTACCGCAAATTTAGTCGACTAAAAAATCATCTTAATCGACTACATTTTTGGGATATTTAGTCGACTAAGTAACGATATTTAGTCGACTAAATGTCGACTGAAACCCTATATTTTCCATGTTTTCGGTCTCATTTCGATTGTTGTTGTTGTGTAAACCTAAATAGCTCCCTTTGTTCATGTGTAATCCTCTCAATCCGATTGTATTTCATCCCACCATCTCTACAGACCTAATATTGTGAAATCATTGTCATTGCCCAATTCCAAACCCCAAAATCCGAACCCAAACCCCCAATTTTAGAACCCAAGTCCCAATTTCGTGAGGAAGATGAGCACAAGTCCAAACATGTATGTGACAATGATCTACTATGATGGAAAGCATTATGAAGGCCCCAATGGTGTTCAATTTGAAGGAAAAACGAAAATGTTGAAAATCAAACGGGGCACTACATACAATGAGTTAAAGGAGAGAATTCAGCAAAAATTGGGTCTGCAAGGCAGCCAATGCGTTCAACGGATGATTGCCAGGGTAGAGACAACAGTTGGTAAGGATGCTATTTACTACATTGGTAACGATATATGTGATGATGAAGATGTCGAATGTGTCATAGATACAATTGTTGACCAAAAATTTCAAAATTTTATTGAGATATATGTTGAATTAGATTGTGGTCAATCTTCATCTGCACCCATGCATACAAGAAGTGAACCGTATTTTGGTCATGAAGAAAGAGTAGTCGATTTATCTGCACCTGCACATGTCATAAGTCAGATAACACTGGGGGAAATAGATGAGGATGAACAGGATGCCGATATGGACAGCGATGAGGACGGTGAACCTGAGAGTGTTATTCCGCTAGGTGACACGTCAGATACTGACGTAGAAGGTGATTTCGACGCTGACACAAGCTCACCATCCCCGGGTTCGCAGGTTATGAGACCACTTCGTGTTGACCCTGTTAGCAGTGGTAAGATTTGTTTTTTAAAGATTTAATTTAGCAATTATTTTTTTTGTTATGAATGGTATTGACGGTGGCATTATAATGCATCCGTAGGTTCTGAGGTCGAGCCATTTTGGAATGAAAGCTCACATTATACCTTCATTAATTGGGCCCACCCTAATGATGAGACAGAGATATTGTATGGTGACGATGATGATCACGGTGGCTGGCAATTAGGGGATCCTTTATATTTGTATCAGGAGTTTCGTAGCAAATCTGAAATGCAACATGCAGTCAAATTATATTGTATGAAGGCTCACCGTACTGCCGTTGTGGCAAAAAGTGATGACCATAGATTTGTGATGAAGTGTCGACACCATAATGATGGATGTCCCTGGTATGTGAGGGCATTGTTGCCGAAGAATGGAAATACTTGGGTGGTTAGTAAATGGGTTAAAGAACACACCTGCCTAAACCAAGGTCTTACCCGGGATCATAGACAGTTGGATTCTGATGTGATATGTGCAACCATTATCAGTATGTATTATTCGATATATCTAACTTCCTAAGGTATGTTTACGTTAATCAGTTTGTATTCTGACTGTTGGCCGGTGTTTTTTTTTATATAGGTATGTTAAAAGAAGATCCATCATTGAAGCCCGTGGTCTTCTTCAACAGCTCAGTCTCCATGGGAACACCAAAGTGAACCAATATCCTCTGTACCAGACAGGCGTATGGAAGATGACCCTTATGTTTGGCCTTAAACATAAACCAACAGATATAGTGCCTCCAGTTCACCATCTGGGCATGTCGGATAGCCCACATAATGGGAATGTCATGTTCCAACACCCTGGAATGATTAAAAGATCGCGGAAACAGAACGTGGGTGAGGACATAGTGTAGTATACGGGACTCCACAGAAAGCAACCCCACCGTATAGTGCAAGTGTTCCCCACGGACTCTTCTCTGCTCCTGCACGGCATCCTCTCGTACATATCCTGGAAGTACTACACCACTATCAGCGTCATACACCACAGTCTGAGAAGAGTCAAAATCATAGCCGAGTATCTCCAACCATGCAGGTGCTGTCATGATGATCTCTATTCCACAGACCCTCGACCTCAGCTCGCCCTGTACGTAGCTGAGGTTATGGTAAAAGGCCCGCACCATAAGCTCTGAATACGGACATAGGGTCTCGGCCAACACCCTCAGATGTGCCGCCTCCAACACCCCCACAATTTCAAATCCCTCCTTATCAAAAAAGGCTGTATCCAAAGATTTTGGAGCACATAACGGCCGGTTCAAATGGTCACGTACGAATGAAGCGTGGACGGCAGGGTCGTCCTCAAACAGATACCCATACGGGAGGTCAACAGTATCAGGCTCTTCGTCTTGTCGCCTTGACGAAGAAGGTCGCTCTTGCCTATGCTTGGTGCGTCTCTCAAGTGACTCATTGCCCTCATCGCTTGGTCTTCTGCGGCTCGTCATTTGTTTAGGGTACCTACAATGAAACATGTCAGCATTTAACCATATGAAACATGTCATGATGGTAATGAAAACTTGCAACATAAGCGTTGTAAACCAAAAGCAAACTTTTGCCACATACAAACTTTTCAAACAAAAAAATTCACACAATGCAAAAAAATAAACCTTAGTAGATTAGGGTTACAAAACCTACAACAAACGCTTTGATTACAGTTCACAAATTCGGACAACAAACAAATACAAAAAATTCCTAAACCTAAAACACAATGCAAGTTAAGAAACCTTACCTATCCTTCAGATTTCACGATTTCGACCAAATTTGGGGGCAATCCACACGCCTAAGGGAAGGGTTTGGGGCGTTCTTCAGCTGCTCCTGCGGATTTGGGGTTTGGGCCGCCTCCTTAGTCGATTAGGTCATCCTACTCCCCCTCTGCCGAATGAGGGGTTTTTAAAAAACAAATCCGTCGATATTTAGTCGACTAAATATCGTTACTTAGTCGACTAAATATCCCAAAAATGTAGTCGATTAAGATGATTTTTTAGTCGACTAAATATGCGGTAGTCCACTTTCTGAAGATTGACCATTTGCTCGACTAAAACAGCAAGGTAGTCGACTAAAAGGGGGCAGGTTGGTGGATAGTTCTTGATCAGGGACAAATTGGTTATTAATTAATTAATTAGGGACAAAAGGGTCAAAAAGCCGGGGTTTTGATATGCATATAGATTCTTCATTATTACATTATTAGTGTGGGTGATGATCAACTTATTCGTAGAACTTTTTTATGTGAATTCGATCTATTTATTCTATAATATGTTTTATAAAATAGGTTGAATAAATAATGTAAATTTTTCTGTAAGTTAATGTAATTATGTAATGTATTTTGAATTTTAAAAATCACCCTGCACACGTGTTTATTAGTACAACGTGCTGGATTATTGACTTTAATTTAAAATGGCATGATCCTTATAACTTGATTCCATGCGTTATCTCATTGCGTATTGGTTCATTCAAGTAACAGTTTCTATTGAGGAAAAGTTCAAGTGAAAGACTCTTTTTGTGAAATTAATCAATTAGCAAAAGAATATTTTCGTATATTAATAATACGAAAAATATTTATCCTTTTAAATGACACAACTTATATCCTTTCACTTTTACAAAGAGGTGGAATCTATATCTTTATTTTTTTGTCAACTCTCTCTCCTCTTTTATCTATCTATTTCTCTCTCTCTTAAAATGACACAATTTTACATCCTTTAACATGACACACACTTTTCCCATTAATAATTTCAAAATGTTGCAAACCCTCATATTTACTTTATACTTAGGACATTTAGGATGAAACAGGGATTAAGGGAGAAAATTTACTTGTTAATGTTACATTACACAATCAAATTTGCTTGCAATAAAGGCCAATGCATATCAGAGAATTTATCTAATTTCATTCTTCACATCCAGGAGCGTTTGGTACGCGGGATTTTGAGGAATTTCTGGGAAACTGGATTTTTTTAAATTTTAAATTTTCAGGTATTATCGTAAACTGAATGCAAAAATCATATTTTTGAAAATCGAGATTCTCGGACAAATAAAAATTTCTCTTGTACCAAACGCCCTTAAAGATCATGAAACCTTCCGAGGCTGGTCCTGGCAAAGATGTGCTTTTTTAGAGGGGAAACTCTCTTGGATTTTTATTTTTATTTTTTCAAATATAAGTTATAACTATTTACGTGATTCCCCCAGTTCTAAACTTATGTGACATGGTTTGGAAATGGATGCTATATATGCAGAATGCTCTAAATGTCCAGGAGTTTAATTGAGAGAACACATTTTCATAAACCTTCCGGATTGTGATGTGGTTAATCAGAAGCTTATTGTGGCAAGAGCTAAGAGTTGCAACCCACCTCACGAAACCATGGAACATGATTTTGGGTAGAGCTTATTGGACCCTATGAAAATAGAGGAACCTTGGGGCTTTTAGAACTAATTTCAAGCTTCCCCAAGTAGGGTTTGATGACTATATATTTCAAGTAGCGGTTTAAACTTTAAACACAACTGGAATGCACAAGTTGTCCAGTGTCCATACTTTTCTTGAGGCAAAGTTAATTGGTGGCATACTAGCAGAATAAGTATATTCACCCTTTTATCTCAATTTGGTAAAATTTTGAAGCAACCATTGGGAGTGGAACCCAAATGAAAATGAAAATATGGCAAGTAGAATAATGTCAAGTGAATAAAGCAGTTTTGGTGTCATGTCAATCATAGTAGACAATAGACTTGCCAAATTCTTCTTCGCTCCAACTGTATTTAGTTCGGTGGGGTTTAGAGCTTTCAGCAGGCTCGAGCTAAGAATAGTGCTACCCGACAAAGGAAAATGGTATGCCAATTAAGTAGTCACTGCTCATCCGTCCACTCACACATTCAACATCACAATGCATTCTCTCATATGTAAATAATATTTTCCTAGACTGTAATCAAACATTAATATTATGCATACCCAAAAACCAAATGTAATCACTTATAGAAGAATGGGACAAAAAATTATTAATTAACTCACTCCCGTGAGTTGTGTTGGATGCCCAATAATAATAATAATAATAATAATGACAACTCAGTGGAATAATTCTCAGTTTAGTTTGTGTAGGTTGAGACTCCAGAGTGACGGTTGTTAGAAGGAAAGTATTTATTACTTTTTGATTATTTTAAATTAATATATACTACACACTTCAATAAAAACTTACAATAATAATATGGATGGTATATGAATAAAGAATTAGGAACGAGTTTACCAAAAAAAAGAATTAGGAACGAAAAATCAACCCAACGCCTTCTGTGGGCATAGTTGAAGTACAAAGAAAGTGTTTCATTAGTTTCTACAGTGATATTGTTGAAGGATTGAGTTTTATTGACTTTTATTCCTATAATAAGAAGTTGATATGTGGTCTTTTCATAAAAATAGATATTATGTTGTAATTTAACTATTAATTTTCACTTTCACTTGTATTTCTTTTTCTGATAATTTAAAATTTTAAAAAAAATCTCTAAAAATATTAAAATCATATTTACTTAAAACAAAGTCATATTTAATAATTAATAATTAGGATGATAAGATGAAGTTTGTTCGGTTGTCCTGAACAAGTGGAAGCAAACAGAGGAGATGTGTAGGTGAGAGTTGAAGCGCAACGTGTCACCAATTAGAAGAACTTATCTGCGTTGCGTGTCAGTATTCCCAACGCTTTTTTTCTTTTTCTTTTATATTGCGTCGGTGAAGCTACTTTTAAATCCACATCGGATAATTGTTCTCGATAGATCCAACTCCATTAGAAATTCCAACTCTTACTCCACTGTCACACTCTTCTTCAGTCTACACTCTCCGTCTCCCTTATCACTTAACACGTTTCACTCCGATAGATTGTATTTACTATATATATATATATACGAAAATGTAAATATTATGTTCTGTCGTGTAATTTTTTTAAATTATATCTTACGAGTATTTAAAAAAAAAAAATCCCAATCACTTTTTAAAAGTTGTCAATTGACTAAAAAAGAGAGAAAAATATATAATTTTAATATTATAACTATATATTATTTGTAATATATAAATTATAAAGAATAACATAACACAACTTATGTAACATAATATTTGACGGACCATAAAAAAACACTAAGTAGCATTATTTTTACTATATATAGAAGATGGTAGTATCAAAATATAAATATGTAAAAAAAAAAATACGTGAAACTTATCTCCTTTAGAATTCCATTAATCATTGATCAATTTTAAAAATATCTTTTGTTTTTATGCCTGACTTTTAATTTAAATTTTGAAATTAAGACTCTTGTATATATAAGTCATTCTCTTTTCATCAACCAAAATTTCTTACAGAAAGTAATACTTATCTTCTTCAAGACATATTTTTTCTGTTCCATCCACCTTATCTCTCTCTCTTTTATTTATCTCATGCAAGACAATTTAAATAACACAGAAGCCGAATTGGGGTCAGAGTTAGGCCCACTTATTCATCACTCCCTCTTCTTCATTTATACGTAATTAATGAATTTATTCTTTAACAATGCATTATATTATTTAATGATAATATAAATTTTAAGAGATAAGTTATATTTATAATTATTTTACTTACAACTATTTTATTATTGTTGGATAAAATTAAATTAATGGCTTCGATTCGATATTCTTTTGTAATTGTTGATTTAGTTTTAGTATAATGATAAAAAAAATATGGTTAGAAATTATAAATATAACTTACCAAAAAAATTTATACTGAAAATATATTTTATAATATACTTTTGTCATTTAATTAGTTGTTAAACTCCGTGCGATGACGGAAATAAAAGTAGTTGAAAGTGAAAAAGAGGAGTTGATACATACATTGGAAAGTTATACAGGTGGCGCGTCCTTGTAACATTAGCTGTCGTGTGCCAACCAATGAATGAAGGATAACTGATTAGCAGTGTTCGAAGTTGTTGCCCAAACCACGAAATGAAAGAGAAAACGATGACCGCGAATCGTGATCAAAGCCATGACGCACACCCACATTTCCCTTTTATTTTTATTGCCACGAGGCGTCTCTATCCACTTCACATTTTGTTCAAACGTAAAAAATAAAATAAAACAGTCAATATTTTCTTAAATAAATCAATCAATCAATCTGAAAACAGTCAAATATCTTATTCGGTAAGGTTCCTTTGAAAAATTAGAATCATATTCCGTTACTCTACCTGTGTTCTGCCAACATCGACTTGGATATGGATGTAAAGTGATGTAAAAGTTGTAGTGTCCTTCCTTGTGTGCCTTCATAAAGTGAAATGTTTTATCCTATTGATAATTATTTTTAATTACTTTTCTATTTGAAATAAAAGTACTAAATAAGAATATAATAATAATAATAATAATAATGCAGAAAATACTAAGTAGAATAATTCTTGAGAACAAGTCAGGATACATTTCGTTGACATTTAATTTAAAAGACCGAGCTGGCAAGAATAAAAAAAGAAACGAGTTTAAATCCAAAAACAGTAAAAGAACACGGCCTAATTAAGATTCCCACGTTTTCTAATCCAGTGCTGGACAGAAAATTCCAGTTATACCACCATACATAAAAAATGAAAATCGTGTTTTACACGCACCGAGAAAACTCCAGCAGCCACAGTGCCACACCCATATTTCAGATTCGCACAATAGCCATAAGCATTGCCTTGGGTGTGGGGTTAAACTAAAGTACGTTACATATTGCTAGAGAAAAAGAAAGAGGTATCACGTAACATTGTTTTTTTTTTTTTTTTTTTGGTAAGCTTCACGTAACATAGTTTTGACTTAGAAAGAGTCATCCGTATTTTTGGTACCTAAGGTAAGTGAGTCCTCTCTCTCTCTCTCTCTCTCTTGTTTAGTTGACCGACTTCACTATCTCTTGCATTCACACCAACTCAGCTCGTTCCTCTCTTTCACTTATTTTACCATATCCCTATATAAACCCCTCTGTGCTCACACCCACTTTCTCATCCACTCACTCCAACACACAACACTTGTTCACAGTACTGTATACCTTACCTTACCTAGCTAGCTCAACGTTCCTCAATCATCTTTCTGTCTTACCTAATAATGGCTTTGGAGGCTCTGAATTCTCCTACAGCAACCACCACTCCCTTCACTAGCTACAAACGAGAAGAAGAAGAAGAAGAGGAAGACCTTCAGTTCCGTGAGCCTTGGTCGAAGAGGAAGCGTTCAAAACGAGCCCGTCTCGATAACCCAACAACAGAGGAAGAGTACCTCGCTCTCTGCCTCATCATGCTCGCACACAGCGGCAACAACAACAACAACAACAACAACACCTCTCATCGTCAAACTCAATCATCATCTTCACAGCCACAGCCACAACAAGAAGCGCCGCCACCTATAAAGCTCACTCACAAGTGCACCGTGTGCGGCAAAGTCTTTCCCTCTTATCAAGCACTCGGTGGCCACAAGGCCAGCCACCGCAAGTCCTCATCGGAAAACCCCGCAGCCACCGCCAATACTGCTAGCGACAACGTATCCGCCTCCGCCGCCACCGGCGGGAGGATGCACGAGTGTTCCATCTGTCACAAGGCTTTCGCTACGGGTCAAGCCCTCGGTGGCCACAAGCGCTGCCACTACGAAGGCAACAACAACAGTAACAGCAACGTTAAAACCAACAACAGCAGTGGCGTGACATCATCTGAGGGAGGCGGCGCCTCCACCCACAGCCACCGCGGGTTTGACCTGAACCTTCCCGCACCGTTGACGGAATTCTGGCCTCCGGTGGGGTTCGGCGGCGGCGACTCCAATAAGAAGAAGAAGAAGGTTAACAACATAGCTGGAAGCGGTGAACAAGAGGTGGAAAGCCCTTTGCCAGTAACCGCCAAGAGGCCGCGTTTGTTTTCGGGTGAAGATGGTGATGAAACGATGTAGTTTTGTTCGGAGAAATTTGATTGAAATTGTTGTTATAGTGCCGTGAATATGAATCGCACGCACTTCTTAATTGGTTTCCATTTGTTGTTTACTTCTTTATGTGGGGGTCGAGGGAATTGGGATTAGGTTCGGATTTTGTTTCTGCTCAATTCCCTGTTTCTCTGTACAGACAAAATTTGTTCATTGCTTTTGTACTTTTACTTCTTTGTCATCGATTCAATCTAACAATTCCTTTTTTCATTATTATTTACGCCAACGATTTATCAATTCCCATTGTATTCATATACATTTACTTTTTGTCTTCTTCAATACTTGTTCTGCGCATGAGTTTAATTTACATACTCTTTTTTAAATTGATGCTTTGATCAACTATTATATTTAACTGATTTAATTTAATTACTAAGTTTTTTTTGAGCGAGTAAGAAAATATATATAAGTAATGCTGATTACACAACTAGATAGAAACAAAATTAAATAATTATAATTTTTACCCAATTTAAATTGATTAAGTCTCTCTGGCATTATTCATAATATCTACACTGCTTGAGTAATAAAGAAATAAATATTCTTCATTGATTTGATGATTTCACTTTCTTATGTTCACATTCAAGTACACATTGCAAAATACATATCATTCGAAAGGAATAGTGGAATTTAGAATATGATAAATGTGGTAAAGGTGGGGGATAAGGTAATATATGTCTAAATTTATAAATTTTGACGTTTTGTACATTATTAATGATATGCATACTTTTTTGTTTTCCCAATTCAAAATGGATCATAATTATCTTACAGATTTACACACTATTAGAGAGTCGATTCTAATATATAAATTAATAACCTACCATTATGAAACATACATGAGTGATGTCCATCAATGGTGGGTGGTACTGAAAAACAAATTAATTGACTGCTAAAAGTTGGATTAAGTCAAGGTCTTCTACAATGAAATAAAAATGGTGGGGGTTTTTTTTTTGGACCCAAAAGCATAAACTGCTTGCCGCGTGAACAACGCTAGCGGGACAGCAGGAAGGAAACATGCTTGTTTAAATGTTAATTATTGTTTAAGTTATTTTGACAGCTTAAATGAACTGTCTCCATTAATATGAGGTTTAATGAAATTTTAGCATATCTGAAAGGCTCACTAACTTTTACTATCATCGTTTTGCTAAATCTGTTACAAGTCCTCTAAAGATTGATAGAAGAGATTAAAGGACAAATAAAAAACAAGGTACTAATTAATGAAAGATGACCCATAATTAGTTCTGCAATGCCATGTTAGGGTAATGGGTAAGGTGGGTTGAACTGAAACCCTCCCATGTGGTTCCTGTCTTTAATGCACATGTTTGTATCATTATACCGAATTTGCAACCGCTTTATCTTGTGGCTAAGGACACTTGTTATTGGGTTGGCAAATCTATCCACCCACTAATTAATAACAAGTCTTTGTACGTATCCACTATCCAGAATCTTGTATTACGCTAGAGATGTAGTTTTTTACTACTGCTTTCTTAGCAGCAGAAAAAATATCACACGTGCTACTTACTAATTCTTCTACAATTATTAATATTAAAAATTTGAGAATCGAACTGAGAATAAATGGTCCAGTTAATTAATTAACCTTTATAAAAACAAAGTTTCTCATTTTTTATTCTCATACAAATCGATAAAAAAAAGCATATTTGTATCTAATTTGTTGAATTTTGATTGTGTTTGACTCAAAGGTGCAATAAGCTATTCTAAGCAATTATCTTGTGACCGAGTTAATTATATCTGGCAATACGTGTGGGGAATGCTTCAACGTGGTACCGGGTAGTAATAATGCATTCAACTAAGGTACGTTATTTAAGTTGTGAGCAAAAATAATTTTCCAAGTTTTTGAATGCGAAAGTAGCTTTACGCGTTATGTGGCTATATTACAAGCCAGATGATGCATGGGCTTCAATTAAGAAGTTGTAACTTGAAGGAGTGTGAATCCTATGCTATGCGTGTCGTGTTGTCATTTGTCAAAGTCGGTTCCTCCAAACACGGTCTTCAGTTCACTAACATATTTTATATTGTACGTATGCTAGTCCAAGTACATACGTTATTGCTCCTTCCTGAAATAACTTTGTAGGGGAATGTCCTTAATAATCGTTTCGTTAGGATAATCTTTGAGTGCAAATTAGTACTGCTTTTGACAGTCAATAAAACTTTTTTATTATGTTTGGAAGCTTTGAACGAAGGGAAAGGATCCTTGGTATATAAGAGAGAGTTCACATTGTTAACTGATGGATGTTTAAGAAATGCTGATAATTTCTGTAATCCAAAAAAAAAAAAAAATGCTGATAATTTCTCTTCATCTTATTTGAAAGTTAATATTAAAAAAATAAGTGAGAAAGAAATTACAAAATTGGAGAAGCTTATATTTACAACCTATTTTCGTTTACAACTTCTTATAATCATATCTTAACCGTTGATTTTCGTCAATCAACGGTTAAAATTTTCGTAAATGAAATTTATTAGTTTATTATTAATTCACAATAAATAACAACCGTTGATTGACGAAAATCAATGGTTAAGATATGATTGTAAGAATTTGTAAATTATTTGGGTTGTAAATATAACCCCTCCCTATAAAATTAAACCCTAACAATAATGATTATGTTTTAACTTTATAATGCTAAAAGGCATATAAATACGACTTGATGATTTTTAATTTAGAACAAACACTTCCTTTTGATTTACCTTCAAATTCGAAAATCTTATCCAAACGTAGCATTTGAAAATTGGAATGTGTATAAAACTGAGGGAATTGTAGATTTATACATTTGTTGTGAGACTTTTAAAAAAAATAAAAATAAATGGCTGCTTCTTTCTTTTTCATTGTTTCTTTTCTTTGGTTTTGTTAATAAAAGAGAAAAAAAAAAAAGGCAGAAAAACAATGGGCTCCTTTTTGAAGAACACGTTGCCGATAAAGGAAGAGAGTTTCAAAAGCAACGTGTATAATATTCTTTATCATGTGGATATACCTAAAGGCATACATGAACAAGACAAGGCTTCGAGGATAGCTTTGTTTAACGGTTTACAATATTTGGGGGGGAAAAAGAAGTTGCAAAGGCTTCGATAAGAAGAGAACAAGTAAGAATTCGGGTCCTTTGCGTAAGGGCCTAAGGGGGTATGCAGGAAGAGCCCTTGCGTGGTTTTATCCTTTGCCTTTCTATAAAAGAAAAGCAGCAGTAGTCAAAATAGTGAGCTTTTTCAACGTTGTCAAGTTTACCACTACTACCTTCCCATTGTTCCCAAGATACAATAGCTTATGGTCATTAATTATAATTAAAGTAATCTCGAAGAGAACTCATGGGAAATGATCAGATGTGGATCTGGAATTGAATTAAAGACATTGAATAAAAGCATTTTGTTAGTCGACTCCTTTATCGGTCAATTAATTTTCAGGGCAAGTGCATTTTTATTAAATTTAGAACTGTATTCACTTTCCGCCAAAAACTAAATTTATTCACTTCATGTGTCGGTAAGAATTTGATATGTAAAATATTGATTAGAGGAAAAGTTCCTTAATTCTTAAAGAGCAAAGTCATTAAAACAAGTGGGTAAAAAAAAAAAACTGAAAAACCCCCTTATGATATTATAGTAACCGAAGTGGAAAATCATCTATTAACTGAAAATTCAAGTATAGTTATTACGAATTTATGATGTTATGCTTCCGTCACTCTCTCACAAATATTTAAATGTCTATACTCTACAGCATAATAATCGTGGATCTTTTCTTTTCAAGTGAGCTGCGTACTCTAGCTTTCTGACTAAATTGTGACATTGTTGACTTTTCAAATACTGGTATTAGTTAATCCGCTAATCAACTCAACCACAAATAACTACCAGGTCAAAACCAAAATATAAAATAAAAAAACATATAAAATCCAGTTAGCCGCCTCTCTGGCGTTACAATTATGGTATATATATATATATATATATATATTTCAATCAGCTTAAGATATATTTATCTCCGTCCATCCAAAAACTACGTCATTTTTCTCATATTAACTGATTCACTTTTTAATGGTTATGATTTGTTTTCCTCATATTAATTGATTCACTTTTTAATGATTATGATTTCCTTTTTCTCTCTCTTTCTTAATCACCATTGATTCATCTTTACACGATTATGATTTAGTAGTCGAAGATAAAGGTATCTCAAATAATTTGATAAACGATAGGCCATATATAGTGTGTGTGTGTGTGTTCGCTACTTCTGCAGCGACAGTAGACTATGTTGCATCGACACCAACACGGGACACGACATGCTGACAAGTTAATTATAAAAAATGTCATATTTTGATACGTTAATACACGTTTTAGATATTAAATAATATTTTAAATATATATAATATAATTTAGTTAATACATATAACCATTCATAATAAGTCCTATGGTATAAAACAAAAGTAATTTTTTATACACTGATAATTTTTTATGTCAAATTCTATATCAGAAAAAAAATTGACTTATAAATTAATTTTTCATTTTAAGTTAATAAAATAAAATTTAGATCTAAAAAAATGTTTCAGAGCATTGATCGCGTGTCGAAAACACGTGTCGGAGCGCTGACCGCGTGTCCCAAAATGTTGACCACGTGTTGGATGCTTGTCGGTGTCCAACACGTACATTTTTTAAAAAATCACGTGTCCACGCTTTCTAGACAGTAGATGAGAAATTTTGCAGCAAACATATTTGTACTAGGATTCGCATGCGAATACTGACATTTAAAAAAAAATGTCAGGATATGCATGACTTTCTATGTGTTGCTGCAAAATTTCTCCTCTGCAGCAACATAAGAAGTATTAAAGACTATATATATATATATGTGAAAAAATATTTTCTCATGTTATTGGAGACATCTTATCTTATGTTATAAAGATAAACATGTGCGACCAACCTTTTATAAAAAAAGAGTAAAGGAACCCACATATTTATCTCCATGACATGAGACAAAATATCTCCAACAACATGAAATTAAAAAATCACTTTATATAGGATAATATATATATGGAGAAAGTTATATTTACAAACTTTTTGTTTACAAACTACACTAAGTATGACCGATCATACTTTAATGAAGAGTATATGACCGGTCATATTTAATGTAATTTGTAAATAAAGTTTGTAAATGGATCTGTCCCCTATATATATATATATATATATATAGGGCAAAATCAATATACACCGATGTAAGAATAATAAATCTTAC